GCCCAGCCTGCTTTGTGTTTTATTCCTCTCATGTGACCTCTTCTTTTGCAAATAAAGTCCCATCCTGGTGTTTTGAAACCGTGTTTTTCCCCCAAACACAGTGACCTCATCTCCACTCGACACCCCACGTTTTTCCTTTAGGTAAGCCCTGGAATTCTCCATTTTCCCATGCAATGAGCCTGTCTCTGCACGTTGGGGTGACACCACACCGGTGCAGGTGGTCAGAGCAGCTCTTAAATCTGTATTTAGCCCCCTCCAGGGGAGGGATCTGACTGTCCCTGGTGCTGGGGAGCTGTGGGTTCTCCGTGCTCTCCTCTCCTGGAGGGGTGCCCGACATTCCAACAGGTCCCTGGGGGTGCTCATGGCTTGGGCAGCAGGGTTGGAGCTGCAGCCTCAGCCCTTGGCACGGCTCCTGCTTACCTAACGCTGCTGATGGCTCTCCCAGAGCACACTGCACCCATGCCCAAGGGCTCTGGGAATCTGGTCCTGCTGCCAGCACAGGACTCTGACCCTCCCAGGGCTCCTGCAGCAATGCACTGCCTGGGAGGATGATGCTCCCTGCACATCTCTGCTGTTCCACCCAACTCCCCCAGGTTCCAGCCTGGGGACTGTTCTAACCCACGGCTGCTCCACCAGGTACATCTGCTGGGCATCACCCTTTGAGAGGGGCCAGGAGGAACCAGGGAAGTCGCTCTGAAGCTGGAAATGGGCAGAGCAGAGAGTTCAAATCAGTGTTTGGGAAGAGGGAAATGCTGCTACACTGCAGACACTGCTCCCAAGAGGGAACAGTCCCAGCACAGGTAACCCAGCTGACCACCCTGCCAGAGCTCAAACCGGAACGTGCCCCACATCTCACAACAAACACCCCTCACTTTCCATCCTTCCTCTTCCAGGGGTCCCCAGAATTTCCTACTTCCTGGTTTGTCCATGTCCCCTACCAATCACTGCTGGTGCACAGCCCTAACCCAGGCACGGAGCAGCGTTCTGGGGGGGAAAGCAGCCAATTTGTGCCTAGAACTGTTTATATTTTAGGGAAAATCTTTCTCATGTTTACTTACTGGAGCAAAACCTTGTATTTTGGAACCAAGTTTTCTTGGCTTTGTCCTTTGCAGAGTGCAGCTTGCCTTTTACAGTTTGTTTAGAGCGTTTTTTCTTTAATTTCCTTCTGCAGCTATAATTTACAATTAGAATACACGATTTTTGTATTTACAGCTGCAACCTGTTACAAGGATTAAATAAGGCTTCCTTACAACCACACAGCTATAGTGATTTCTTCCTGAGCTATCTCAGAAATGTAAATATCTCAATATGGAAAATAGTAAAAAAAAAAAGTTAATAAAATTGTATTTTGGGGAAACAGAAAACTCTGTGAAGGCCAAAGGCACAAAATGATGCCCCATCCCTGGAAGTGTCCAAGGCCAGGTTGGATGGGGCTTGGAGCAACCTGGGCTCATAGAAATTAAATGGCAGTGTCAGGCATGTGCTTTGGGTTTGGGCTTTTTTCTTCCTGAAAAAGTGACTTATTGGCACACAAAGACACCTCAAATCTCCTCCATGAAGATATGGTAACTTTTGCTTTCTTCCCTCAGAAAATCTGACGTAAAGACAGAAAAGGAAGGAAGTTATAGAAGTTATAGTCTCTTAAAATATGTATGTGAAGTCACTACAGGCATGACAAAATATGGCCTAATATATTAATAAGCCACAGACCTGACAAGGAAAATTTGTTCTCCCCATTTGAACTTTTCGGGAGCCACTTTCAGTTGTCAAAACCAGTGACAAAAGCTGATGAAAATACAATAGATCTTCTAAATCCCCAATTTCCCCCTCCCCTGAGACTGCTGTTCATCTGGAGGGCCACGTGCTGTTAACGTGGTGTGGAGGGGAAGCTGGGGATCAGCAGCAGCGCAGCTGGTGGCCTGGAAGGTGTGTGGGTGCTTCCTCAGAACTAGGAGACATCATTAACTCCAGAGATGGCATTAATTAGCACATTACCATCACTGCACATCATCCTGTTTGACTCAGCTCAGGCTCCTCTGCCCTCACCTTGTGCTCTCACCTTGAGCAAGTCATTTATTGGCACTGAGAGACCGCACATTTACATGAGAAAACCCCTAAATAATCAGCTGTGAAGCAGAAAGGCATCTCTGAGAGGAGCTTGCAGTGGCCAGGGATGGAGGATCCCCAGCACCCCAGCCCGTCCCTAATGACTCCAACCATCCCCAGCAGGGAATCTCTGCCCCTGCCCCCTGTGCTCCATCTGCACTCTCCAGCTGGCTCCTGTCAGGGGGCTGTATTTACAAGGGACCTGAATGAACAGAAATTCGCTAAGGTCAAAAGACAGCGCTGTCAGTCAATTAATACGGACCCACTTACACCCACGAGAGCACCGTGGCCTCTCCACGGGGTTGCTGCTCTCACCAGAGCTGCCACCCGGTGCAGAGGAGGGTTCCATCCATCCCCACTGCCAGGCACACCTCATCCCAGCTCACCTGCACAGCCAGGGAGGTGCCAGCTCAGGATGGGACACACCAATCCCCACAGCACATCCCAGCTCACCTGCACAGCCAGGGAGGTGCCAGCTCAGGATGGGACACACCAATCCCCACAGCACATCCCAGCTCACCTGCACAGCCAGGGAGGTGCCAGCTCAGGATGGGACACACCAATCCCCAGAGCACATCCCAGCTCACCTGCACAGCCAGGGAGGTGCCAGCTCGGGATGGGAGACACCTTGTGCTGGGTCACCCCGGGTGCCCTGGCCCTGCCTGCTGTGAGGACTCAGCACTGCCATTTCCTCCTGGGGACATTGCACAAGGAGCTGCAGAGCTGGCAGCACCCACGTTTCCTCATTTATTAAGAAGCTCGTATTTTCTTTGGAAAATCACAACTTGCCCAGCATATAAAAGAACTCCTCCTCACCACCCATAAAAAATCCCAGCCAGCAACACAGCAGCTCCACCTCAACCCCTCAGGAGAACGTGGGAGAAGTCCCTGCCCAGGTGGCTGTGCCCACACAGCTTTCCTGGAAGGAAGGGCATGTGCTCAGCCTGGCACCTCCCACAGCCACCCTGCAGTGACATGTTCGTGTGCCTGTGCCCTCAGACACCTAGCTGGGAAACAGCTGGCACGGGCAGCCCAGTCCCCAGAGCTGAGGTAAGAATGATAAGTATTTAGGAGAGCACTTTGCCTGCCTGGCTCTGGGCTCAGGCCTGACTCAGTCACAGAGCTGGCATTTTAGGAGTTCCCCAGCCCGTGGTCACCTCCCAGGCTGTGCAGGGTCAGGAGTGTAAGCTCGTGCCACACTGCAGGAGCATGGTGAAACACGGTCCTCTGTGCTGCTATGATTCACTTCATCTGTTCAAATTTATTAGGCACACCAGAGCAAATAAATTTTACAGAGAGCTTTCATTTGTTAGGCAATCTGCTCCCACCTCTGGGCACAGAGATGTTTCACCCAAAGCCTGGTCAAGGGTTCTGGTTGGAGCCTGCCACAGACTGTTTGAGTTTCATATCCTGCACTTTTAGTGCCTTCCAGGGCTAAAAGCTCTGAACCAGCAAAGCACAGAGAGGATGCTCCTGTTCCTCCTGGAACAAGAACAATCTGCAGCAGCAGCAAAGAGAGCTTTCTGCAGATCTTTGTGTAAGCCATGGAATGACTTAAGGCTTTAACCCAGCATATCCACATTATCTGTCCATCCCTGACATGGCAAAGATTCTTAGTTTTGCCGAGTGAGAAGGGATTAGCTTCAGATTTCTATTTCAGAATCGAGGGAGTAGCACTTATCCGGTAATCTGGCTCTGCACAGTGCCAACAATTTATCTATAGATCAACCTACAGAGTTTATACCAACACAGTCTAACTCATTACCTGCTTTTCTTCCAACCTTTCTTGCAGTGTTTCCCACCAGTTTTGATTCCTTGCCACGGGTATATGCTTGGCACAATTCTTTGCACGTTTAATCAGCTTTGGTCCCAGCACACGCAAGAATCGGATTCCTCCTGTCCAGCTCAGCCCTTATTCCCTGTTATCCCTTGATGCTGGGGTGGAAAAATGAAGGTGCTTTTCCTCCTGTGCATGCACCACTCCACCACTCCAGGCTGACACCCAGGCAGCTTTTAAATCAGGCATTCGTGGCATGAGAACATCTTAGCCTAAAGATGGTATTTAGTGGGGAGTCAAGTAAAGCTTAGCTTAGCATATGAGCAGCTAAAAGTGCTCTAGGCTGAACAGCAGCACTCAAATCCCCTGCCTTAAGGCCCCTTGGTGCTCTGTAGCACTCTGACAACATCCAGCTGGGATCATCTCCTGGGTGGGAATACTCCAAACCAGTGGATCTGCTTCAAAAACTCCACCTAAAGATAAAAAGGGTGTTGCTGTACCACAGTGCCCCGGGATTGCCACCTGGCTTCTAGAACGGGTGGGACAAGAGAGTGATTTTGATTTATAACCCCCATCGTTTCTGCTATTTTGCAACAAACGTGGCCCAACCAGCTCCAGGATGTTCAGAGGTCTCTTGCCCAACAGGTTCAAATTCTGGACTCCAGCTCCTGCATGTGAAATGAGCAGTTCAGGCAACCCTTAAGAGTAAATACTTGCAGCACTTACAAAATTATTAGGTTCCTGGTTGCAAGGGGGAATTAAAAAAAAAAAAAAAGAGCAAAAAAAAAAGAAGAAGAAAATACTCAGTGCACATTCCCACTGCAGGAAGTTCTACACCCACTATTTCACACCATGTCCCAGATGAGTGGGAAGGAACAGGGTAATGAAGGAGCTCTCACCTGGGGACTTGCAGTGAGAGTCTGGCCAGATGTCTTTTGAAGGAGACTGACACATGTCCCAGCTGCTTTCCAGGGCACAGTAAGAAGCTCTGTAATTACCTTGTGTATTTTGATCTCCACTGACACTGGCTGCAGGGAACTGCACACTGTGTTGTACCTGCTTATCCCTTTTCCAACCTCTTATTAACTGCCCTCCTTTGGAACCTGCAGCATCTCCTACTCCAGCCGCTGAAATGGAAGAAAATGCCAACACCAGCCTGGAAGATGACTTTGAAGGACAGGCAACACACACAGGCAAGGAAAGAACTGCTTTGTTTTTCCCCTAAAAATAAGCCAAACTTGGTCCAAAGACCAAGATCTGCCTTACAATCAGAATTATTGTAGCATTTGCCTTATGGGTTACTCTTCCAGTGGAACAAGTATGGGCTTAAAAGGAAATGTCAAGTGCCCTGTACTCTTAATTTTCCTGTGAGTTCTTATACAGTTTATTTATATAAAGGCACTGTCTATAGAGACACTCAAATATACTTGTATGAAACAAGCTTTGGCCAACACGGCAGTTTTATCAGGTTTCAACATTCTCATCCCTGTTAACTACTGAAACAGCTCACCAAAATCCTTTCCTGGGCTCCTGATAGGAGGCAGACCCCAGAGTGATCCAGGTTAGAAAAAACTCCTACTTTTTGGGACATGTAGGTCCCAAAGTTTGGGTTCTCAGCACTCCTGGGGAGAGTTCTGGCAGGAAGAGGGATGGACAGATAAACTGAGGCACACAGGGACAAAGCAGCAAAGAGCAGAAGCTTCTCAAGGAGCCCCTTGTTGCAGATTCTCATCCTGCTTCATCTCTCTCAGGGCCCAAAGGTGTGATCAATGACTGGAGGAAGTTTAAATTAGAAAGTGAAGATGGAGAGTCCTTATCCTTGAGCAAGAAAGAAATGCTCAGACAAATGTCTTCACCACACAGATCCTTCAGCAGAGATGACAAAGACACCAGGGAGAGATTCTGCCGTAAGGTAAGAGGAGTAGAGCAAAATAAATGAATTTGATTCTAGATAAAACATACCAGTTATCAGCTAGAAAACCCTGGATTTGCCAGACTCCCTTTCTGTGTAACTCAGCAGAGCTCTCACAGCACAGAGAGAACAAACCATGTGCAAACCAACGGAGCTGGGAAGGGGCTGGAGCAGCAGGAGGGGCTGAGGGAGCTGGGGGGGCTCAGCCTGGAGAAAAGGAGGCTCAGGGGGGACCTTCTGGCTCTGCAATCCCTGACAGGAGGGGGGAGCCGGGGGGGGTCGGGCTCTGCTCCCAAGGAACAGGGACAGGAGGAGAGGGAACGGCCTCAGGCTGTGCCAGGGGAGGGGCAGGCTGGACAGTAAGGAAAAATTTTTCACCAAAAGGGTTGTCAGGCATGGGAAGAGACCACCCAGGGAACTGGTGCAGTCACCATTCCTGGAAGTGTCCAAAAAAATGGGGATGTGGTGCCTGGGACATGGGTTAGTGGTAGATTTGGCACCGCTGGGTTAATGGTTGGACTCAATGATCTTAGAGGGCTTTTCCAACCTTAAAGGTTCTCTGAGTCTCCCTACCCCGTCCTCTCTCAAGCAAAAGACTCCAGTAAAACAAGCAGGACATTTCACAACAAGCTATCACAGCAAAGTTTGACCTTTCTTCCTCTCTCTCCTGCCACAATGATCTGTCCTTGGTTAAGGCAATGGAAAACTTTAAACCTGTTTAAAGACCTATTAGTCAGGGACAGAGCTCTGAGCCTGAACGTCACTCATTGCCACCTGCCAGGTCTGACCAGGGGGGACCCAAACCCCCAAACACAGCAATTAAACTTTGAGCCCACTGCAGTCAGGGACAAAATTCCTGCCAACTCTGGCAGATCCAGAGGTTTTTGTCAAGTGTGGCAACCGCCTCCAGTACTGCCATGTTGGTGTGGGAGTGTTGAGGAGACTTTCAGAGTCACTGCAGGCAGCGATGGCTCTTCTGGGTCAGCTCTGATGCCCTTTAGATGACAGCTGGGGCTCTCCCACTAACCCAGCATGGGGGGCTCAGCACTCACTAACCCAGCATGGGGGGCTCAGCACTCACTAACCCAGCATGGGGGGCTCAGCACTCACTAACCCAGCATGTGGGGCTCAGCACTCACTAACCCCGCTGGGGGGCTCAGCACTCACTAACCCCCGCTGTGTGGCCCCCCAGATGAGCATGCAGGAGTACGAGCTGATCCACACGCAGGAGGACGAGAGCTGCCTCCAGCAGTACCGCAAGCGCTGCATGCAGGACATGCACCAGAGGCTGAGCTTCGGGCCCAAGTTCGGCCACGTGTGCGAGCTGCAGAGCGGGGAGCAGTTCCTGGAGGCCGTGGAGAAGGAGCACAAAAGCACCACGGTGATCGTGCACATCTACGAGGACGGCGTGAAGGGCTGCGACGCCCTCAACAGCAGCCTGGCCTGCCTGGCCGCAGAGTACCCCACCGTCAAGTTCTGCAAGATCAGGGCCTCCAGCACCGGCGCCGGCGACCGCTTCTCCAGCGAGGTGCTGCCCTCCCTGCTGGTCTACAAGGCCGGGGAGCTGCTCAGCAATTTCATCAGCGTCTCGGAACAGTTCAACGAGGAGTTCTTCGCCGTGGATGTGGAGGCTTTCCTCAACGAGTACGGGCTGCTCCCGCTGCCCGCCCTGGGAAACGGCAACACGGATGAGCAGGACGTTGAATAGTCAGAGCCACAGCGCTCTCCCCGTCCTCCTCAGTAAGCTGTAAATCGATGTCAGTAACACTCACCTCATTTAGAGAAGGCTGTCTTTGCTAATTTATTCGCAAGATACAAAATTATTTAACCTTTAGGATATGAATTCCACTTCAAACACGTACAACTGGCAGTCCTGTACATAATTATTTCTAAGCCAGCCACAAGTGATAGGAAGAACAGCAGACAATGCTGGTGATCTTTAGGAAATGAAGGTAGAAAGGATTAAAAACTGAGGGCCCGTGCCTGTGTCCAAGAAGCACAAGCCCTTCATTTCAGACTGATCCATCCCCTGTGCACACAAAGAGCCACGTCCACGCTCTGGATTACGGCTCCTCAGGAACACTTCGACCAACTTCAGTGGGAAAAAGCAGTCTGAAGGACAAACAGCCCAAAGTCCTTGCATTCCTAAATAACTTAGGTAACTAGGACAGGATTTTATGCTTCCACGTTTAATATTCGGTATTCGCAAAAAGAAATAAATTTCTCACCCTTCCTGTTGTCACTTCTGTGCCAACGCTAGAGAAGTGTTGCTCTCACAACAGCAAACACTGACACAGCATCAGCTCCTTTCAGTTCATGGGTGCTCCACGTGTTGAGCAGCAATGTTTAAACTGCAGTATCTGGAAAAGTATATTGTGCTTCTGTAATAACTCTGAATAAAGCTTACCAGCCCTTGAGACCTGCCCTGGAAGTGTGAACTATATTGGTAGTTACACAGTAATCTAAGACAGAGACTTTTAAAAAGTTCCTTTTCTCTTACACACACTTTTTCATTTGCCCTAAGCCCTCATTTTCTTACGTTTTCAACGGCCAACCAGAAAGGATGGGACCATGAAATCCCCTCTTGGTTAGTCCTGTCATTCTCAGACAAGTGAGAACCTGCCTTCTTCCACATCCACTGTTTCCTCATGGCAGGATGACTGGAAGGCTCCATCTGTAGGTACAAGTCAAATTACTCATTTTTACTTTGACAGCATTAATTTCTTATTCTCCTATGAAAGCAGAAATCCCATCAAAAGCAAATTCTTTGCCTTCTTCCAAGCTCAAATTGGAAAACCAGACTTCCACAGACGCTTGGTATCTGGTTAGCTATAAGCTAAGGGGTTAATTTGACCACCTGTAGTAAGACCATAAAGAATAGGATTATTTACTAAACACTGAGGGAGCTTGCAGGGGGGAAGGAAACCAGAGCTCTCTGCTAGGGGTCCCTGGAATTTTACATCCCAACAAGCTGCATGTTTTACACCACAAACACTACAGGAGAAGAGCTATGGGATGAGTGTTTCACCACCATTTTCTTCTCTGGTGTCAGGTACTGAGCACCTCAGATGCTGCACTTCACTTCTGGGGCTGAGTTTTGTGTGACAGGCAACTACACAATAACTGTTCCATCTCTTACCTCCAACATTTTGTATTCCACCTCCTCACCCCACCCCTCCCCAAAAAACAGCCAAAAGGCAAACTCTTTGCTCTTCGCTATGCCCCTCCTTCTAACAGAGACTTCAGCAGAGCAATTCTGAAGGCAACCATACCTTGCAGCAGGTTACAGAATTAATCCCAGTTTCTGGATAGCCCTCATCCTCCCCTGGCTGAACTGCCAGGCATGATGCCCTCTTGCTTTTGACTGCACCCCCTGGCACAGAGTAAAAGGCAGTTGCAAACGCCCCAGAGCTGAACCCAACGCCCCATTACAACATCCACCCTCCTGCAGGAGGCCCTGCTTGGGCAACACCGAGCACAGAAGGTCAGCCCCCTGTTTCAGAGGACACTCACAACACGAAAAGCAGCTCTTTTTTCCAAACATGGAAAAACAGAGTACACAGATGAGGCAATACCAGCTGAGACACCTTTCTCACAGTTGCCTTTAATAAAGGTATCCCGGTACATCCCTGATTATGCTTTAGAATCAAAGTGTTTATTTTTAATTCGTGTTCCAGTGCCTTTAAACAAAAAAAAACGTATTTGCAGTGGTATTAAAATGCCTTAAAATCTGGAACTCTTTTCTGTTGTAGTTCAGGTCCAAGTAAACATCACATTTCATATACAAATTATCTTTATTAACCTTCCTAGAATTCTTCCCTCCTTCACTTCTCCTCATGGCAAGTAAACATCTTATAGCCCAGTGCACCCTGGAAAATATCCTATAATGGAAAGCTTTCTGTTTATAGCCTAAAAATCCTGACCAGCAATAATTCTGACAACTTGCATGTACCTACAAGACAAACCACGAGGGTTGCCTACGTGAAGCTGTTGCTGAAATAGTTAATATTCCAAGAGAACAATGACTGAACAGGAACTGGACAGAGAAATGTATTGATTTCTGAGTTCTCCAGGTCTTGAACTAAAGTATTTACAGGCTGCCTTGGTCTAGTCTTGAAACTTCTAGAAACTATTTGTATACCTTTTCTGCTAGTTAACCAGTATTGCCTAAAAGCAAACCTAATTTTTCCCCCATTAATTTTAATGAGATGAGGTTTCTCTTAGCAAATTGAAGCAAGAATTGTCATACCAGGTAACTGCACTAGTCCTACCAGTAGCCTGAGAAACATCAGGAGCAGTATTTTGCACAGAAGGAGCCAGCAGGTAAAAAAAATGAAGGTTCCATATTTCTTTTAAAGGCTCCTTATTAACAGAAATATTATTATCATTCACTTATATGGAGCGACAGGGTTGGTTTCTTGTAAACTTGATTCACTTTCTACTTGATTCTGTATCTGCATAATTCTACTTGATAGGTGAAGTGCGTGCTGGAGCAAGGGAGTGAGCCTACCATTGCACTGCTATTGCACATCTACCTGGGGATATTCAGGCAACAATTCATTACTAATACATTAAACAGAGCTGTTCCCATCTTGGAAAGGCCAACGTTCCCATGGAGCTGCAGTTCAGTCACTGAAGTAGTTGAAGGAGAAGATGGATGCGAGGATTGCAACAGCAGCTGCCACCACCACACCTGCAATAACAGAGACACAGAGTGAGGGGCCAAGGGCAGCACGTGGAGGGCAGGGCAGGTGAATGTGCCCGAGGAGAAACCAGACAGCCACCCCAAAAACTGCTTTTCTCAGGGAAAGGTTCTTCCCCCAGAGGGTGGTTGGCACTGCCCAGGCTCCCCAGGGCAGTGGGCACAGCCCCAAGGCTGCCAGAGCTCCAGGAGGGTTTGGACAACGCTCTGAGGGACAGGGGGGATTGTTGGGGTGTCTGTGCAGGGCCAGGGGTTGCACTGGATGGTCCTTGTGGGTCCCTTCCAGCTCAGGACATTCTGTGTTCCGTGAACTACCCCACACCACCACGCCTCAATCTAAAGTATAACTAAAGTGTAACTGTATTTTAATAGTGGAAGACTCCCAGCCAAGAGAACTGTACTAAGTGCAGACAGATATTTGAGAGCTGGACAAGGGAGTATCATGGAGAAGTTGCATTGAAAAGGAGAGTTCTGGGGCTGGTGTTCCCTGAATTACTGAGGCTGAGAACTGAGTGTTCCCTGAATTTCTGAGGCTGAGAACTGGGGTGCCATGGGAGCAAACACGAAGGGCCTGCTGCAGGTTTGGGACTGCCACAGCAAAACATGTGGGAAGTAACATACCCATGTTTTGTTGAAGCTTCAGCAGCAGCGTGGCTTTTGTCAGCTGTGTCTGTTGGGTGTCCTCCAGCTTGTCAGGAACTGCACAAATATCAACTGCATTGAAATCAAGAGAAGAAGTAAATAGCAGGGGGAAAACTAACAGCTGTGTTTTACAATGAACTAATGCAAAGGGCCCAACAACTTTACATCAGCTCTGTATTTATGGTACAAAAAGCAGTTTATTGCAGCAGTACAGCAGCAACAGCACAGTGCTAAACTGTCCTATGAGGGTGTGAGAGTAAAACTAAAGAGACAGAGTGCATTTGGGGAGGAGCTCCTCTTCTCAAACTCATTTTCCACACCCTGCTTCCATGGTAACATACCCAACTGTATTTGCCTAGCCTGGGGAGAATTTGACTACTCTGAGGGGGAACCACCAAAATTTACCATTAACCACTTCCTAGTATGAGAGTTTCCCTTCAGAGCCACCTGTCCTGAGCTCAGGCCTCATGCCAACCCACTTGCACAGAAGGATGAGCCCAGCACCACCCTCCTGCCCAACTGCCAGCAGGGCATCTCTTCAAACCACAGAAACCTCCTGTGGAAGATCCCATAAAAACACCCTTTCTGAGCAGGCAGAAAGGACTCATTCTTCTTGGGAGTGATTACTAAATCCTTAGTCTGCTCAGCCAGGATGTGAGAGAGCTTGAGTCTAATTCCAGCCAGATGGGATTCAAACCCATCCATATGCATTTCCTTCCCAAAGATTTCCCTCACCACTTGGCTCTCCCAGCTTGCTGGAGACAGGCAGGACAGATCTGCAGTCCTCCAGCTGCACTGCCTGTGCCACCCAGAGCCAGCATGGAATCCCAGCTGGGGGTGGGCCAAGGGCCTTCCACTTGCACTCCCATTCCCAGGAGAGCTGGCTAAGGCACCACTTGTCCAAAGTTGTTGGGTTACAGCTCAGTAGCTGTGACTGCAGACAATGTCTGGATGAGCAACCAGTCAGAGAAAGTGTTTGTGGCTGGGAAGAACAGGACAGGCACACTGAGATAGGAGAACGAGCCCAGGAGATTGTCCAGAAGACAAAGAAATCCCCCCAGCTGTACCAGACACCAAGCTGGAGAAGCCCATGGAACACTGATCTAAACAAAACCAGAGCTCCTGTTTCCAAACCACCCCGTGGGGTTGCCCATCAGCTATAAATCACAAATTACATACTTGAGTAATAAGGCACATCCTTTGTGTGATTCATATGCAAATGATTCACAAAGTACTTTCTCTATCATTAGCTACGGTGGAAATGTATAATCTAGATGTGATCAGAAAGGCTTTTCTGTCATCTCAGATGACTCACGAGGATGATTGTCTTCAAAACCTTCTCAAGTCAAACTCGGAACAACCTG